AGCAGTAGTGATTCATTTGGAGTATGAGTCTGAGCAGTAGTGATTGATTTGGAGTATGAGTCTGTGCAGTAGTGATTCATTTGGAGCCTGAGTCGTAGTGATTCATTTGGAGCCCGAGTCTGTGCTGTAGTGATTCATTTGGAGCTCGAGTCTGCTCTGTAGTGATTCATTTGGAGCCCGAATCTGTGCAGTAGTGATTCATTTGGAGCACGAATCTGTGCTGTAGTGATTCATTTGGAGCCTGAGTCTGTGCTGTAGTGATTCATTTGGAGCCTGAGTCTGTGCTGTAGTGATTCATTTGGAGCCTGAGTCTGAGCATTAGTGATTCATTTACAGCTCGAGTCTGAGCATTAGTGATTCATTTTTTTTATGTATGAGTCTGAGCAGTAGTGATTCATTTAGAGCCAGAGTCTGTGCAGTAGTGATTCATTTAGAGCCAGAGTCTGCGCAGTAGTGATACATTTGGAGCTTGAGTCTGCGCAGTACTGATCGTAAAGTGGCGCCGCAGTATCAAAGTCCCACCCAAACTCCCGCAGACCCAATCACAAACACACAATCATGACACCACAACCCATTTTTCTAGCATCAAATGATGAACTATAAGCAAACTTGGCAGAAAAACAAACACTTGAACATATATTATACATATAATTGAATATATTTACCATATTAAATAACATAATTTATTATCAGATATGACTGTAATAGCTGAGTGCGTGCTGGTGTACCTCTGCAGCTCATAAGCGTGTGCATCGCTCTGTTCCGTCTCTGCGTTGCTGCTGATTGGCTGGAGTGTGTTGTGCTCCGCAGGAAGTTCAGGAAGTGCTGTCAGCTCAGCAGTGATGGATTCTCTGAGCCGCCACACCTGATTCTGGAGCACATTCACACTGACGTCTGATTCAGACTGCTGCTAGACGGAGATCACTAATGTTAACAGATGACGCCTCTCAAGGCCTTCCTTAGTGCAATATTTTACAAACGCACTCCTATTTAATCATATTATCCACAAAACTGTAAATATGTGATAACCTGTAAAAATGTCTATTCTGGCTATTTTTGGTTCATTTATGTATTTTTTTATTATAATGTGTCTTGCTGTTGTTGTTTTTATATGCATGCACTGGAAGGTTCATTACCAAAAAACAATCATTGTGTGCAAGCACACACGAAAATAAAGCTCTTTCTAAATGTACTTCGAGAAGATGACTTATTTTGGTAACATTTTTAATCAACTCATGTTAAATTGTATCAAATTCATGACTTCAATTAATTAGATTATTACATTTTATTTAACCATTCAAATGGAATACAGAAAAGTTCAAACAGAACAAAAAAATGGAATCCAGCTAAATTAAAACTGAATTTGGGAAAAATTTCAAACTATCATGTATTTCATAGGGTTCTACAATGTAATTTTTGTTAAACTTTTAATAAATTTTAATCACTAAAATTTAATTTAAGCATTAAAATGGAATCCAGGAAAAGTTAATTTGGTAAAAATATAATAAAATAATATACCAAATATAATAAATAAAATAAAATAAAAGAGATTCATAAAGCCCTACTTAGGACCCTATAAAATCCATTTTATTTATTTCAGAAATTCAATTTAATTTTTTCCCATATTCTGTGTTTTCCATTTTAATTTAGCTGAATTCCATTTTAATAATCAAAAAGCACATATATTCCACTCCACTCATAAAACTTTATCAATTAAAATTTTTAACAATATTAATTTTAAATTATTAACAATAATAGTACCCTATGAAACGTGTTTTATTTTTTCAGAAATTCAGTGTTGTCTGTTTGAATTTCTCTTGATTTTATGATTAAAAATATATATATTTACAGTAAATTTTTATGAGTGAATTCCGTGATTCAGTCCATGTTTTCATCGATCAGTGTAAATCGTACCAGTTTTCCCTGCAGCTGTAGCTGATCTCTGTCCTGCTGCTGGTTGATCTCCATCATGATGTCCCTGCTGCGATCCAGCGCTCCCGTCTCTCTGTACAGCACAGCAGCGTGAGAACATGTTACAGCTGCGCTCAACAATAAAGCTGCTGATGAAGAGTCACTAACCTGGTGGCTGTGTAAGAGTAGCCCACAAATGCCAGATGAAGCCCGACCGGCGCTCGCTCCATCACGCCACTCAGGGTCTCCTGAACACAAGAGCAGAAGAAGTCAGATCACTCTGAGATTCACCATCTCCATGAAGGATCTGATGGCTCGGGTACCGTGTGGCTCAGACAGTCGTCTAGCACGTCAAAGTTGGAGGTGTCTGTGGCGTCGGAGACGTCAGGACGGTATGGAGGAGGGAGGAGATGAAGAGAACTCCAGTCCAAACCCGTGAAGAACGGGTGTTTTCTGAAGTCTCCGGAGCCCCGTGAACCCAACCTCTCGCTCCTATCACAGATCAGAGCGCTGATGAGTGAACGCGCCTCCTCGGACACCTCAGACCCCGGAGGAAACTCAAAATAATCCTGTTCAGACAGAAACACACAGTCAGTGCTTGCATCGTCTACTGCAGTGTTTCTCAACCAGGTGTACGCGTGGTCCGTCACGTAATTGCAGGGGGTCCGTAGAATCATTACAAAAAAGTTTTTTTATTATTATAACTATGAACTGATATATCTGTTCTAGATTCAATGTAAACACTATGCTTTCAGCAGAACTAAGGGTGTGTGAATACCTGGGTCTGTCTTTCTTCAGATCAACTCATATAATCATGAAAAAAATCAGTTTTGCCATCAGTTGTGAGAAGATGAAAGCGATATCTGTGTCGTTGTATCCTTTCAGTATTTAAGGGGATTTCCCACGACTGTCGTCAGCGCTGTTCAGTACACTGAATCAATGGCATTGTTCTCTATGAAGTGAAATATCAACTTCACTGTAACCCATTGCTTGTTGATTGAGCCTTGTAAACTGGCACTCAAAGTAAATTAATGTCAACAACACCTTGTTTCATTCATGAATGAATCAGCGTTTTTAAAGTGTATCCATTGAATGAATGCTTTTTTAATGATGACTCACTCGTAAAGTCAGTCCATTGCCGCCACCTGCTGGTGTAACAATGCCTGACAGCCCAGCGCTGATACTGAAACATCACTATATAGGCAGTGGCATAAAATGGTCATAAAATGACAATAATATTGTTTCTCGCAATTATTTCTAGGGCAATATATCGCTAAATAAAAAAATTGTTAACAAGACCAGTCTATGGACAGGTGGCTTGATAGGCCATCTATCAGTGGACCTGACACTTGTTAATATCAATGGGGGGGCGGGGGTCCATGAGGTTGGTTTGAGATATTATGGGGGTCCAGTACTCAAAAAAGGTTGAGAACCACTGGTCTACTGCATATTCATGCGTTATTTTTTACAAACGTCGACAAATCGCAGGAACCCAGTCATTAAAATAGAATACTGCAAAGTGTCATGGAATTTGTATGAATAAATCAAAAGCAGGTCTGTACACTGAATCAGACGGCGATCTGGACGAGTGTGAGCGAATATTAAAGTCTCACCATTTACTTTGAGAAAAAATACAGCCAGAGTCATCAAGATCCAGTGCTCAGTACGGCATGTGCAAGCGTTTGAGCTGTAACATCAAGTTTACAGAACCTTATAAAGGTGTGCGGTGAGGACCAACTCGCCGCTTCACAGATATCTGGTATCGTGACCGCTTTAAAGAGAGCCCACGAAGTTGACATTCCCCTCGTTAAGTGAGCATGTACCCGAAATGTAGGCGTAAGGTGACCCATACTGGAATATGCTAGACTTATGTTAGCTTATGTTACTTGTAATGCAATTCCCCCAACACTGGTAATATTTATGCAATAGTACTATATTCCTGTCATAATTTCTTCAAATTAAACCAAACTTTTATTTTGGCAGTTTGTAGTCAAGATCTGTGAGTAGGTATGTGTTTGACAGTGTTTTTTCTCCAAGTAGTTTCTCCAAGACTCTCAGAGCAGCTCTGGAGATGAAGTTCATGTGTTCAAGTCCTCATATATTGAGACGCAGATGCTAAGAACACAGCGAGTGTCACAAGTGTTTGAGTTCATGTAGTAGATGAATTTACGGCACTCGTTCACACAGAGACACACAGAACATGCAGGCTTGACTGCTGCTGTTGCCTGTATTTCGGCAGTGTGATCAGCAGAAATCATCGTTATCGACATATATTTTATCGCGATATGATATCGTTTACCGTCCAGCCCTGCATCCTCAAGCACAGCTCCTTTACCTTGAAGTGTATTATTTTAGCGTAGGTCTCAGAGATGGACTCGGCGTAGAAGGGTGTGGTTCCCAGCAGCATCTCGTACGCACAGATGCCCAGAGCCCACCAATCACACTCAGAGCCGTAGCCTCCGCCGCCCTCCACCGCCCGCAGGATCTCTGGAGACAGATAGTCTGGAGTCCCGACGGCCAACGACGAGTGGATCTGAGAATATATACACATATATATGAGCACAGCGGGCCGACCGCACATGACTGAATGTCTGACAGCAGACAAACATCACCAGTCCGTCATCCTCCAGACGCAGACAGGAGCCAAAATCACCCAATCGTGTGTGACCATCTGCTGTCAGCAAGATGTTGTCAGGCTTAATGTCTCTACAGGAACAGAGCAGACATCCAACATCCTATGTATTCATATATATATTCAATTTAGAGAACTTTCTGAATCAAACCGTTGCATGTTTAGGTGTCAGTACAGATACCTGTGCACATAACCGAGTCTGTGGACTGAATCGATGGCCATCACCATCTCAGCCAGGTAGAACTGAGCCATGTCCTCCGGGATACGATCACCAAACTTACTCAGCAACGTCAGTAGATCTCCACCGACATAGTAATCCATGACCAGATACTGCAGAGCAGAAGAGGAGAGATGCTTATGACTGGAGACAGACACTCATAACCCAGAATGAGAAGATGAACAGACAGAACTGTACATCTGACAAACAGAAGATCACTGGTTCATGCATTGGGACAAAACGCACTGCAGAACTGATTCATGTGTCAAGGAATCATTGTGGATTAATCTTTTCAACTACTTTCACCTGCTTCTGATTTTCCCATTTGCTCTTTCACATTGTTTATCACGATCGTTTACAAAAATAATGTCAAATATTTATTATGTACAAATATACTGATAAATTTAACATTCACTTCAATGATCTGTGATACTGGACGGTTTCAGCTGATTTCCTGCTGTCATCAACTGTTTAAAATATACTGAATTAAGCCACAAACTCAATCATAAAGCACAATGTTTCCATCTAGCATGTATTTTGAGCTGCAGCTCTTCATAGTAATGGAGTGTTTCACTAGTTAGCAGTGAACCGGTGACCTCACCTGAATATGTTCCAGATTTGTGTTGGATGTTATCTTTTGGAATGGAAATATGGACATTTTTTTTGTAAACATTACATTTTGTTGGCTTATTTCAGTTAGTGTCATGAAACTAGTGAGGGAAGCCAGTAGTAGTGCTGACAGTGTTCTTTTGATTCTAATCGGAACTTGCGGCATATCGCGAATCAATCAATTTGATTCAGACCGGGATAATAAAAACAAAATGAAGAAAAGAATGAAAGAAAAAAAGAATACAGATGTGTTGCCAGGTTTACAAAAAAGTAATACATTTACACCTTAAGAGGACACATAGGATGAATGTAGAGACAGTTTTCACTGCTTTAGGATGAACATAACTTTAGATAGTTTCCATACTCATCTAGATCAACTCTGAAAAGAGAGATTTAGAGCCAGTAAATTTTTTATGTACGTGAAATTTAGCTAGAAGGCAACACACATTAATTATATTTTCCCATATTCTCTTTTGAGTAGTCAAAGAATCAAGTGGAAAAGAAAAGAAAAGGGAACTGAGATTTTCTAGTCTCCGAATCAGTTGAATCTGTTGCGTGGCAAAATGATTCAATGTTTCAAAGCAAACATCAAAAAAACAAAAATTCAATCAGCTTTCGCAAACCAAAAATTATTGTAACAAATCACCAAACACCATTAAATACATAATGCATGTATAATATGTGTTCGTTTATTAATTTGCAGCATGTTTTGTGTGTTGCTTGGCTAAACAGGCCAAGTGACAATTAACTGCTCTTCCATTTTTCTCGTAGAGTATTGAATCGAGATCTGAGGTCCTGTGGTTTTAGGAGCATGAGTGATCATATAATGTGGTCAAATAAGGCATAAATCAACTGAACTGCTGCATTTGTGTTCAGAACATTCAACGTGTAAACGTTGGTATTTACGTTGGTTCCACAGGTCAAGCTGTGTTTATTCTCGTGTCTCATGAATCAGTGATTCGGCTGTATGAAGTGACACGTACGAGGTGATTGTCGTCCTGGAAAGCGTAATGTAGTTCAGTGATCCAGCGCCGGTCTCCTTTCAGCAGAACCTCCTGCTCCTCCTGATAACACGCCGTCTGAACGCACACAGCACTCATTATGGCTCTGATTAAGTGCTTTTAGAGAAGATGCACGCTAGTTTTTCTTGTTTACCTCGCCACGCTTCAGTATGTTCCACTTGTTCATGATCTTCAGCGCGTAAACCTGCTGTGTGTTACGCATGCGGGCCAGAGCCACCTGTGCATTCACACCTCAGTCAATATATTAATACTCATCCGCTTCATAACAGAACCAGCACAAACCCTCTCACCTCGCTGAAGGTTCCTCGGCCGATCACCTTCAAGATGTCAAAGTCATCCCTGCTTATCCGGGTCTTCTTCACCTGTCTGACCAGAGGCTCCGCTGCGAATATCAGAGGAGAGAGAACGTCACACAACCATAACGATAAATATATAACTATAACTATAACTATAGCTATCACTGATATCACACATACATCACGGAGAGTCTATTTGACGGCGCATTTACATCTGCAAGACGTATTTTTTAGAGTGTTTGCTCATCTGCAATACGTCTAGATGTCAAACAGACGTTTAGAAGATGTCTTTAAGATTTAGAATGCATGTAAAACTGAGACGTCTATCAGATGTTTGTACACAGCAGATGCTTTCCAGATCTTTACGAAATGTAGGCGTAAGGTGACCCATACTGGAATATGCTAGACTTATGTTAGCTTATGTTACTTGTAATGCAATTCCCCCAACACTGGTAATATTTATGCAATAATACTATATTCCAGTCATAATTTCTTCAAATTAAACCAAACTTTTATTTTGGCAGTTTGTAGTCAAGATCTGTGAGTAGGTATGTGTTTGACAGTGTTTTTTCTCCAAGTAGTTTCTCCAAGACTCTCAGAGCAGCTCTGGAGATGAAGTTCATGTGTTCAAGTCCTCATATATTGAGACGCAGATGCTAAGAACACAGCGAGTGTCACAAGTGTTTGAGTTCATGTAGTAGATGAATTTACGGCACTCGTTCACACAGAGACACACAGAACATGCAGGCTTGACTGCTGCTGTTGCCTGTATTTCGGCAGTGTGATCAGCAGAAATCATCGTTATCGACATATATTTTATCGCGATATGATATCGTTTACCGTCCAGCCCTGCATCCTCAAGCACAGCTCCTTTACCTTGAAGTGTATTATTTTAGCGTAGGTCTCAGAGATGGACTCGGCGTAGAAGGGTGTGGTTCCCAGCAGCATCTCGTACGCACAGATGCCCAGAGCCCACCAATCACACTCAGAGCCGTAGCCTCCGCCGCCCTCCACCGCCCGCAGGATCTCTGGAGACAGATAGTCTGGAGTCCCGACGGCCAACGACGAGTGGATCTGAGAATATATACACATATATATGAGCACAGCGGGCCGACCGCACATGACTGAATGTCTGACAGCAGACAAACATCACCAGTCCGTCATCCTCCAGACGCAGACAGGAGCCAAAATCACCCAATCGTACATGACCATCCGCCGTCAGGAGAATGTTGTCAGGCTTAATGTCTCTACAGGAAGAGAGCAGACATCAAACTGAACATCCGATCATCCTATACAACATCCTATCCACTCATTTGTGTGTATATATATATATATATATATATACTGTATACACATTCAAATTTATTAACGTACATGTTTATCGTTCATTGTCATGATTTGCATGTTTAGATGACCTGATCTGTGTTAGTACAGATACCTGTGCACATAACCGAGTCTGTGGACTGAATCGATGGCCATCACCATCTCAGCCAGGTAGAACTGAGCCATGTCCTCCGGGATACGATCACCAAACTTACTCAGCAACGTCAGTAGATCTCCACCGACATAGTAATCCATGACCAGATACTGCAGAGCAGAAGAGGAGAGATGCTTATGACTGGAGACAGACACTCATAACCCAGAATGAGAAGATGAACAGACAGAACTGTACATCTGACAAACAGAAGATCACTGGTTCATGCATTGGGACAAAACGCACTGCAGAACTGATTCATGTGTCAAGGAATCATTGTGGATTAATCTTTTCAACTACTTTCACCTGCTTCTGATTTTCCCATTTGCTCTTTCACATTGTTTATCACGATCGTTTACAAAAATAATGTCAAATATTTATTATGTACAAATATACTGATAAATTTAACATTCACTTCAATGATCTGTGATACTGGACGGTTTCAGCTGATTTCCTGCTGTCATCAACTGTTTAAAATATACTGAATTAAGCCACAAACTCAATCATAAAGCACAATGTTTCCATCTAGCATGTATTTTGAGCTGCAGCTCTTCATAGTAATGGAGTGTTTCACTAGTTAGCAGTGAACCGGTGACCTCACCTGAATATGTTCCAGATTTGTGTTGGATGTTATCTTTTGGAATGGAAATATGGACATTTTTTTTGTAAACATTACATTTTGTTGGCTTATTTCAGTTAGTGTCATGAAACTAGTGAGGGAAGCCAGTAGTAGTGCTGACAGTGTTCTTTTGATTCTAATCGGAACTTGCGGCATATCGCGAATCAATCAATTTGATTCAGACCGGGATAATAAAAACAAAATGAAGAAAAGAATGAAAGAAAAAAAGAATACAGATGTGTTGCCAGGTTTACAAAAAAGTAATACATTTACACCTTAAGAGGACACATAGGATGAATGTAGAGACAGTTTTCACTGCTTTAGGATGAACATAACTTTAGATAGTTTCCATACTCATCTAGATCAACTCTGAAAAGAGAGATTTAGAGCCAGTAAATTTTTTATGTACGTGAAATTTAGCTAGAAGGCAACACACATTAATTATATTTTCCCATATTCTCTTTTGAGTAGTCAAAGAATCAAGTGGAAAAGAAAAGAAAAGGGAACTGAGATTTTCTAGTCTCCGAATCAGTTGAATCTGTTGCGTGGCAAAATGATTCAATGTTTCAAAGCAAACATCAAAAAAACAAAAATTCAATCAGCTTTCGCAAACCAAAAATTATTGTAACAAATCACCAAACACCATTAAATACATAATGCATGTATAATATGTGTTCGTTTATTAATTTGCAGCATGTTTTGTGTGTTGCTTGGCTAAACAGGCCAAGTGACAATTAACTGCTCTTCCATTTTTCTCGTAGAGTATTGAATCGAGATCTGAGGTCCTGTGGTTTTAGGAGCATGAGTGATCATATAATGTGGTCAAATAAGGCATAAATCAACTGAACTGCTGCATTTGTGTTCAGAACATTCAACGTGTAAACGTTGGTATTTACGTTGGTTCCACAGGTCAAGCTGTGTTTAGTCTCGTGTCTCATGAATCAGTGATTCGGCTGTATGAAGTGACACGTACGAGGTGATTGTCGTCCTGGAAAGCGTAATGTAGTTCAGTGATCCAGCGCCGGTCTCCTTTCAGCAGAACCTCCTGCTCCTCCTGATAACACGCCGTCTGAACGCACACAGCACTCATTATGGCTCTGATTAAGTGCTTTTAGAGAAGATGCACGCTAGTTTTTCTTGTTTACCTCGCCACGCTTCAGTATGTTCCACTTGTTCATGATCTTCAGCGCGTAAACCTGCTGTGTGTTACGCATGCGGGCCAGAGCCACCTGTGCATTCACACCTCAGTCAATATATTAATACTCATCCGCTTCATAACAGAACCAGCACAAACCCTCTCACCTCGCTGAAGGTTCCTCGGCCGATCACCTTCAAGATGTCAAAGTCATCCCTGCTTATCCGGGTCTTCTTCACCTGTCTGACCAGAGGCTCCGCTGCGAATATCAGAGGAGAGAGAACGTCACACAACCATAACGATAAATATATAACTATAACTATAACTATAGCTATCACTGATATCACACATACATCACGGAGAGTCTATTTGACGGCGCATTTACATCTGCAAGACGTATTTTTTAGAGTGTTTGCTCATCTGCAATACGTCTAGATGTCAAACAGACGTTTAGAAGATGTCTTTAAGATTTAGAATGCATGTAAAACTGAGACGTCTATCAGATGTTTGTACACAGCAGATGCTTTCCAGATCTTTAGCAGACCTCTTGCAGACGTACCTGTGCAATCTGGGTTATCGTTCTTGGTGTGAATGGGCCTTAATGCAGCTCTGGCATTTATATTTTTGGACTTTTTAAAATGCATTTTCATTAATTTTATGATGTATATTTTATGTTTGGGTTGTTTTTGTTTGAGATGGTTCTTTAAGGCACTAAGAGCGTGCTGTGCAGAAATAGAACAGATGAATCTAAGAATAGCGCACTTATGTTTGAGACTTTTTTAAGGCAAGTTTTCCAGCCTTGGATTCGAGACGCTCTCGTGGCTGCAGGAATGCGAGTGAGACTGAGGCAACAGCAGAGTTTTACTGCAGAGAAATTTTCAGCACAAAGGCTGGTAAAGGGTGACAAAGTGCACAGGGCCCAGGGGTCTGTGGGGCCCACAAAACATTGTTAAACCTACAGAATCCACCAAATGTCCCGGCTGTTCGAACACAGCTGACTGAACAGTTTCAAACTGAACATGATTGAACATGAATATTTAGTTGGATATTCATTTAACATTTTTCAGATGTTACTTTTTGTTTTAGAACTTTCAGAGAACATTCGAAACTAATGTATAAAATGGAATGTTCCCTGAACGTTCACATAACAAGGAAAAAAAACATTTAAAAAAACTGGACGTCTAAACATTCAGAGAGCAAAACATTCTCAGAACATTTTTATTAGATGGGAAGAAGTATTTGCCTTGACAAATTTATAAGCTCCAATTCATAGTGTGTAAATACAGTATCCCTCATGTCGTTCCAAACCTGAACGAGTTTCTTTCTTCTGTTGAACATAAAAGGCGATTTTGAAGAATGTGTTTAGCCAAACAGTCAACGGTAGCCATTGACTTCCATTGTATTTTTTCCCTACTATGGAAGTCAATGGCTACCAGCAACTGTTTGGTAAATACTAGCATTCTTTAAAATACTTTCAGATCATCCGCTGAAATACAGGTTTGGAACAACATGAGGGAGAGTAAATGAAGACAGAACGATCATTTTTGGATGAACTAACTACATAATGCATAACACAACACTGACCAGCATCATTTGTATTATCTGTGCCGTCTGATTGTTCGGTGTTTAAATTCGTTTTCATTTTCGTAGATGTGATTAGAGTGCAGTATTTTAATAATCCTCTGTTGAACGTATATTTCTGTTCTTACTGGCTCGGTCAGGATGTGTGTGTGACAAATAAACTTCAAACCTGAAGCTCTATGAGTTTTCACATGTGACATCACTTCCTGTGTCAAGCCCTGTTTTATGGACGATATGGAAAGTTCAGGTATGGATCTCGCCACTTCCTTCCTGCTGTTCGCCCTTTCTCTTGAATCAACAGAGAATCGGCTGCCAGCAGCATAAATGGAAATCTGTGTCCAACAGAGACTCTCCAACTGTGTGTGTCCCTCTGTACGACTGTCTGTCTCTCTATTGGCCATGTAGGGTGTGACCAGAAGTGTGTGTGTGTGTGTGTGTGTGTGTGTGTGAGAGAGAGAGATAGATAGAAAGAGAGAGAGTGTGTGTGTGCGTGTGTGTGTGTGTGTGAGAGAGAGAGAGTGTGTGTGTGTGTGTGTGAGAGAGAGAGATAGATAGAAAGAGAGTGTGTGTGAACATAAAAGGAGATTTTGAAGAATGTGTTTAGCCAAACAGTCAACGGTAGCCATTGACTTCCATTGTATTTTTTCCCTACTATAAAAGTCAATGGCTACCAGCAACTGTTTGGTAAATACTAGCATTCTTTAAAATACTTTCAGATCATCCGCTGAAATACAGGTTTGGAACAACATGAGGGAGAGTAAATGAAGACAGAACGATCATTTTTGGATGAATTAACTACATAATGCATAACACAATACTGACCAGCATCATTTGCATTATCTGTGCCGTCTGATTGTTCGGTGTTTAAATTCGTTTTCATTTTCGTAGATGTGATTAGAGTGCAGTATTTTAATAATCCTCTGTTGAACGTATATTTCTGTTCTTACTCGCTCGGTCAGGATGTGTGTGTGACAAATAAACTTCAAACCTGAAGCTCTATGAGTTTTCACATGTGACATCACTTCCTGTGTCAAGCACTGTTTTATGGACGATATGGAAAGTTCAGGTATGGATCTCGCCACTTCCTTCCTGCTGTTCGCCCTTTCTCTTGAATCAACAGAGAATCGGCTGCCAGCAGCATAAATGGAAATCTGTGTCCAACAGAGACTCTCCAACTGTGTGTCCCTCTGTACGACTGTCTGTCTCTCTATTGGCCATGTAGGGTGTGACCAGAAGTGTGTGTGTGTGTGTGTGTGTGTGTGTGTGAGAGAGAGA